TTCAGGTTTCAGGTTTCAATCCACAGATGGCGCTACACTGTTATTTAATTTTGCGTTAACTCTCGCGGATGAATCTTGCGTCAAGTATTTCAATTGCTCCATGACCGTAAGGGTGGGCATGGGTGGGTTGCCAGGCTTCCACGATCTCATCCTCGGTGACTGGCGCCCTAGCCCTATAAAATGAATTTTTGGAGGAGCGGCTTGGCATAGCACAGTAAGTCAGGTCGTAAGAAACTATGATGTTACGTTGTTTACTTCACTTCGTGGCTTTCCATGAGGTTCTAGTCAACAGAATGCGCTGCAGTTATATTACATTTTCTTGCTAAATCTCACTCATAGAATTTGGTCTCAAATGAATAAGTCAAAGTCACCCCCTAAGGGCGGGTGGTTGGTGGGCGGATGGTGGGCCAAAGTTTTTTTATTTTTGATCCCATGTGGATTTTAATATAACCCGCTTAGGTTGAGTGTCTTAATGAGCGGCCGAAAAAAAAAAAAAAAATCTTCCCTCACCCCGGTCCCTCCCTCTATCTTTCCCTCCGCCTTTATCCTATCTCCTAACTTCTTTCCATTTTATTTTTCACAAAAATCCTACTGGTTTTGAACCAGGGACCTTCTGAACACTAAGCTGATGTCTTACCCCCAAGCCACCAGCAGCACTGAAATTTATATTCTTTTATCTTCCTCTTAAGCTACATCTTCGACTATAATTCCAGAAAAATCAATTAACTTACTTTCTAAATCACAAAACTATACTTGGTTTCGAACCTTCCAACTCTTGTTCAGTACGCCGGTGTTTTACCAATAGGCCACCGATTCCACGGAAATTTTTTAGCTTTAATCTTCCTCTTATGTTACATTTCGATATATATAATTCCATAAAAATCTCATTACAAAAATAGTTCTGTATTCGAACCACCAACCTTAGAGTTACAACGCCGGTGCCTGACCACTAGACCACGAGACCATGCATGGCGAAGTTGTCTGCGATCGTCCTTATATTATACGACTTGGTTTATAGCTGCAAATAATCGGATTTATTTATTCACTTTTCAATTTATATTGACAAAAGACACAGTGGTCTAGAACCCGGTACCTTCCCAATACTCCGCCAATGTCTTACCCACGTACCACCAGATCTATACAAATTTGTTACCTTCACCTTCCTCATATAGTACCACTTACTTCCTACATGCATACATTTCTTACATTCTTTCTTTCATAAAAATAGTCATGTCTTCCAACCACGTAACTTCTAAACCTTAACTCTAGACGAGGGGTCTCCAAACTTTTCGAACCTCGGGCCACATTAAGTAATTCAGCACTTTCAACGGGCCGGATAAAATGAGAAATTAATAACTCTAGGTATATGAGTTTTATTGAGAAGCACAGAATTTCATAAACTAAATACAAAGTACATGAGAACAAATTATGGTATATTAATGACATCAGACAGCAGCAAATGCTCATATTTTCATCACAAATTATAGTAAAACAATTAATGTGAATGATGGAACTCTTTTTGCATTCTTAAAATCTGATTTAATTGAGGTTCAAATTTTGAAACGCTAATCACAAGTAGCGACTTTAAATGTTCATCGGATAAATTTGCCCTGTATTTCGACTTGATGTACTTCATCTGGGAAAAAGTTTGTTCACACAGATATGTCGTCCCAAACATGGAGATAAATTTACAAGCAAATTCCTTTAAATTTGGAAATTGCTCAGAATTCAGAAATTTATAAAATTCGATCAAGTTTCCTTCCTTGTATTTGTCTTTAATATGATAATTTTCTTGAAGTTCAATAATTTCCATTTGAATTTGACTTGGGACATCTGCAGCATCACAGTCAAACGGATTTTGAAACAATCTAATTTCCTGAGCACTGGAATCCAAATCAGCAAATCGCTTCCGAAATTGTTCTTTCAAATTTAAAATGACTAAATTTGCAAACGAGGAAGGAAATTCTACTTCACCCTGTGCAACTTTGCACAGTATAGCATATGAACAAAGTTACAATTTTTCACTTGCCTTTCCAGAAGTATCAACTTTGCTCTGAATGTCTTGATAAATGCAAATAAAGCACAGACTAAGTTATTTTCACCCTGCAACTTTAAATTCAAATAGTTCATATGGGTCACCAGATCAGCAAAATTGCTAATTTCCAAAGCCACTTGGTATCTGATAAAAGTGGTTCGTGATGTTTTTTCTCGGTAAGAAATATATCAATTTCATTCCTGAGCTGAAAGAAGCGCAAAATAACCATTCCACAGCTAAGCCATCGAACTGCAGTATGTCAGGTCAATATACTCGGAATCACATTTACCAGTACTCATTGGAAAATTAGTTCAATTGGCGCATTTCTGCAGAATTCTTTCGGGGGCCGCATGTGGCCCGCGGGCCGTAGTTTGGAGACCCTTGCTCTACACCAGCGGCCACCCTTGATATTTATTACTCAGCTATTTAACCTTTAAACGTCGGACTTCTGAAATGGTGGTAAGCTTGAGCTGGCCGGAGTTTATTTAAATGCCTGCTGCTACTCTGAATTTAAACGTCCGTTCCTGTTAGGGCGCTTAAACAATTTTAGCATTGTGTTTAACTTTTAACGTCCTAAGTGCCCCGTTTGTGCCAGTGATCAGTATAGTCGTCGTGGCCAAAGTACCCCGTTTTGGCCAGTCGGGCATTTAAACTCCGCTAAACCATACACCAGTGCCTTACCAAAGGCTCACCATGCACTTTCGAAACGTGTGTATTTGCCGCAAATCCCAAGGCAAGCATACGACATTGCAGGCATAAATAATGCTCTGTGGACGGTACATTTCATCTTAGAGCTTAATCGCTCACTTTTCAAAGGACATGCTCTAATAAATGTGTTATTTACTTCTTCCCGAAAAATATACAGATGTTGTACATGACTCACGAAGGGGGTTCTTCGTCTGTTCAATATGACATGACACTCGACCGATCTAACTCTGTAGACATAAAATTTCATTTCTTTTGTTCCAGCGCTCATACTGCGCCTCAATCGCATCCGGACCTCGCTGCAGCGTTCTGAAAACCCTTCTTTGCTCAGTCGCATATACATACCTGTCAGCAGCAAACACACCTAGATCCACACTAGTATTTGGGGGGGGGTGTTAATTTATACATACTCTGTACAATGTGTGGCACTCCTTTTCTGTTGGCATAAACCTTTCGCTTTTGACCAAAACTCTTTTCTCTCGGCAAAACTATGCTAACAGGCTTGATTATACTAACGGAAATTTTAATTTGAACTTATACGCACTGTTGTATGGTCTCTGACCACAGAGAAATCTCCACTGCGTCTTATAGCCACCCACCTGTACGTTTATGGGCATGAAATTCATTATTGCCTACAGGTACGGCATTCTACACTGATGGCATACATCAGGACTAGGTTCATTGTGCTGACTACCTGCAAACAGCTGCTCAGTGCCCGAAGAAATTACCATTTCATGGAACCCGCGAACCTCAATGCATTGTTCACACACATTAGCGTGAATACTAGCATTCACACATGCGTCTCAGTGCCCCACGTCCAAGAAACTGTGCTGCAACTGTGGCTTTTCCCTTCAGTGGTTGAGACACTGACTTGTGGTCTGGCCACTCGAAGTGCATTGAGTTGTACGCTAGCATTCAGACAGGACATACAGAGTCTAGCGTCATTGATGAAATGGTGGATGAACATTTTGATACCTCCATCTGAATGTCTGAGGGCAACATCAGAGTGCGGTTCTGATGTCAGAGCCACTAAATGGGCATGTTGGCGTTGAGTGGCTGCAGTGTCCCAGACACTAGTCGCAAGCTACCATGTGTCTTGCCTGAAAGCAGCCTTATTCTCAACTACATGACTCCTGTGCTAGCTTCCCGGGCCTCATATGTGGGATTTGTGGTGGACACAATGTGGCACTTGGACAGATTTTCTCTGAAGTACTGTAATTTCCCCTGCCAATCTTTGTTCCACCAACTGCTCTACAATCACCATCACTTNCAAAAAAAAAAAAAAAAAAAAAGACACCAGAGATGGACTGAAATTATCTTCACTGAGTCTACAACATAGACCACAGAGAACTCTTTAAACATATGCTAATATGTTACTCTAATAATAATACTCTAATATCAGCTCAATTATCTTGGTTAGGAGTGAATTAACTTGCTGTACAATTTTATCAAACTTCTGAAATGTCATTTAACTCTTTTAAGTATTGTAATGCTAAAACAAATTACCTTCACACTGGTATTAGAGGTAGAGGTTTCCATAATAGTGTTTGATGAGGAAGTACCAGGATAGAAAGAAACACAAAGGAAACATGCAGTCAGGATACTTTTAACAGGATTGAAACAGGCACTCCCAAATAAAACCTGATCAATAAGCTCCATCTGTGTGGTTGTCCCTTTGAGACCCTTCAAGAAAGAACAGAGGTATTACATTGAGAGTGAACTTTATTTTGTTTAATGATGCTGTAAAGGAAAATGACTTCATGCTGCATAATCTACGAAACTTCCCCGTCGTTTCTTCTACAGTTACTGCCAGTATTTATGAAACACATTACTTTACATGCTTATCTTTACTCTTTGAAGTCATTATCAGAAATACAATTATGGAATCTAAAATAATCCTATATACAATTCACTAATAATTTAAAATGTACATTAAACAACAATCATTTCAATCTGATGAACAGAATAAAATATTTGTATTATTTAAACAGTATGATCTTCATAAGCACTGACAGTCACTGATGCAGATATTAAAGAAATACATTGTGAGTCAGTGTTAATAATAAAAATAAAATTTAATATATGACATTCATTATATATATGGATGAAGAACTGGTACTGGGAAGGAAGTGGTCATAACTCTGCAGTCTCTCCCTCAACACAGGTGTATTTTTGGAAATATCAATAAATTTATCTTCCAAGTCTTTCACAATGTGATTCCAAAGTAGAGGGAAGTGGAATTGTTCTAACATTGTGAATGTAGTATTAACAGCTTTTTAATTCAGCATATGTACAGCTTTTCTAGTCCATTACGTGGCAACTTACAGAACAAATTAACAAATAATGTGTTCTAAGGTAGGACAACTAAATGAGTTATTTTCACAGTCACAGTCTTGGAACACATGCCCTTGACTGTTAAGTCACCACATGTTCAAGTTATTCTGTACATTAAAATCGGGTGTTAGGTTTTTATTCTTTTCTTATAACATACTTGCTCATTATCATAAAAATAATTATTGTAAGAAATGTACACAGATAGAGACAAAAACTTAGATAAATATAGCTTACAGCCAAATATTTGTTTTGTATACCTAATATCACTTGTACCCATATAAATATAAGATAGCACAACAAGCTAATTTACCTGTGCTTTTGCTCTACCCTACAGCGAAGGATCACTTGAAGCCTCCTCCACATGTACAAGAAAGACACTGAATACTAAACAGGGACAGGCCAATTTGCTCTCTGCCCAGCTATCTCAAGCACGGGCCATAAATCTCAACAAAACCCAACAGAAACATTCAACGAATCCTGTCATTTTGATATTTGGCTCTGCCAGTTGGCAGATTGTAACAGTCTCCATAATGCACCACCAAACACTTCAAACACAGCAGTAGTTCTCGACATCCTACAAAGTTACACACTTAAAAACAAAATGAATCAGTATTATCTTTTCACATATATAAAAAAAGTCCCACACGCAGAAAAAATTTGTACCATGGGGAACCATTTTTCTGAACATGACTTCTTTCTCACGTACTCACTCATTCAATCCACATATCTCATTTTGTACACAAATGCACATTCAATAGAAACATCCTCAATATGAAACCCAAATATACAAGTAGATAGAGTCTTTAGCCATAAAATTATCACTAATCACAGTCTTAACAAATTCCTGTCCTGAATATTAAGAACAGTCTTTCTTGTGAGATATAAAACCATTTAAAAATCTAACAAACGCTGTGGCATTCCAGTCTGTGTTAAGGGTTTACTTCCCAAGTGAAATTTTCCTCTTTTTCTTTTTTTTTTTTTTTTTAAACTTAAGCAGTAACTTGTGTTCATATATTCATAATGTGAACATCCAACATATTATATCAGTAAATTTTGAATGTTTCAAACAATTTATTCGACATTCAAATATTAATACGTGAATGTTCATGCTTAGCACCTACTGAAAACAAATACTTGCTGACTGCAAATAATGGCTGGCTGGGATAACATTTTAGATATTTCTCATGCAGTTAAAAGAAACTGACATATAAGCTGAAATGTAATATTCCTATAGTATACTGTTATTACCTTGTGTGTGACAATTTGCTGACATTTGCTAGTAAAAGAACCAGCAGAACAAAATGAATACCCAAGCTCTAATATTCACTTAAAAGTACATAACCAAAAATGTACCTCTACCGAGTGATTAAGTGTCTATCAGATCTTAATGTAAAGAACATTCTGAAGTGCAAACATAATTTAGGCACACTCAATATTCTAAACTTCAAAAGAAATATCAGGACAAGAAATCAGTTTCTCATCCTGTTAACATCTGTAATACAGGTTTAACAACTAGTTTCTTCACTGTGTATGTACAATTATATTTAATAAATTTCCTTATGTAGTCAGTGGAATACGTACCCTCATCACTTACAGTTCACATGTCCACATGAAAACACCTTCTGGATGCTTTTCAACATTTTGTTATGTTCTGTCCACCTTTGTGAAAACAGCAGGCATGCCTGGCAAACCTTCAAGCACAAGGATGCCTGGTGGTGCCTACCGACGCATAGGCTGCATCAGGCTTCCATTGATATACCCATAAGTTGTGTACATTGTATTCTGCTGTGCTGCCCGCTGAATGGCTGCAGGGTCCTGGTATTGGGTCTGTGCCATGTTCATTACACCCATCTGAACTGGAATCTGAGCCGCTTGGTTGATGAATCCAGCTGCCGCTGCTGCTGGATTGGTGATGTAACCAGTCACTGTGGCAGGTGTCTGTTGCGCCGCCATGCGGTACCCATTCAATGTCCCATACTGTGATATTAGGTTTGGGTTAATGGTTACGTTAGGACTGACACGTGACGACGCTGCTGCAGCCTGCATCTGCTGTACTGTTGCCACGCTCCCTCCACCACCTGCACGAGATGAACGTCCACTTGTGGACCCAGCAACGGGCGGTGTTACGGCCGCACCAAGGTTGTTAACATTCACGTTAGTCTGATAATACTTGTGGTAATTGGCAAGAGTCATCTGTGTTGGAAGATTTGCAGAAATAGGTGTTGGTGGTGTGGACAGTGTTCTTGTAGCCTGTTGCTGGAGCATCTGGTGTGCTGCTGATGGAGGTGGTGTCATTGTAGCATGTGGATGGTGTGCAGTGGGGATAGCAGGTGGTGGTGTCAAATTCATGGATGGAGGAGGGGTCATGGTGCCACATGCAGTGGATGGAATCATCTCAAGTCCATTGGTCAGCTGCTGCAGTTTGGCAAGACTGCACGATGAGGGAGCTCCTGTTGTACCAGCTTGACCTGAAGCTGTCCCTGGCACAGTTGTACTTACTGCAACCTGTGGTGCAGGTGTTGGTGTTGGTGTAGGTGTTGGTGTAGGAGTGGGTGTGGGGATTGGTCCAGGTGTGTGTGAGTGAGGATGGGACATGGATGCAGCTGCTGTCTGAATATAGAAGTTAGTAGCAAAATTTGTGGCTGTCGATACTGCACATGCTGGGGAAGGTCCCAGTCTCTGATGAGCACCAACACCCTGTTGTGTGGCCATTCTGTGCTGTATCACAGTCGTCATGGGCACACTCACGTATGTCCCTCCACTGCCGGGCTGTGCTGAAAAAGCCTGAGATGACACTGCCATCTGAGGGACACCAATGTAGTTGCCTTGTGAGATAACAGCCGCCATATTATGAGCATGAGCATGTGCTGCGTGGTGGGGGTGATGTTGCATGGGGGAAGGAGCCAGCTGGTGGTGCGGATGGTGTGGGTACCCTGCCCCCACTGCTGCCTGATGAGAATGTGCCATGGCCACTTGGTGCTGCAAGTGCACCTGCAGCTGCTGCTGCTGGGTGCCCGTACTTGACTGCTGGTGATGCTGCTGTTGTTGCTGTTGCTGCTGCTGCTGCAGCGAGTGCTGCTGGTGGGCTTGAGTATGCTGCTGCATGGATGTTGATGAATGCTGAACAGAGCCATGCTGCTGGTGTTGGCTGATGGCTGGTGGAGTTGATCTTTGCCTTTGCTGTGGTGGTTGCTGCTGGATTGGTGTGTGTTGGTGCTGAATTGAAGGAGGGGTTGACCGATGCTGTTGCATGGGATTAGAATGCTGTTTGTGCTGTGTAGGGGTAGACTTACTGCGATGATGTTGCATCTGACGTGGAGACTTCGTTGAAGACTGATGCTGTGGCTGCTGCTGCTGTTGTTGCTGCTGCTGCTGCTGTGGAACTGAATGTGGTGTTTGCTGGTGTGAAATAGACATGTGCACATGTGGTGCTGTTGAGGATGGGATGTTCTGGTGGTGATGGTGCTGATGAAGAGATTGAATTCCTTGCTGAGCACAATCAGAGTACGTCTGCTGGCATTGAGTCTGAGTTGTATGGGTGGATGAAGTCTGTGGGGGCAGAACGGATGGTGGTCTTGGAGGCTCCACTGAATTCTGTGATGCCATGTCATTTGAGGATATAGATGTAGGGGATTCAAGTCCGAGATGACTCACATCCAGGTCACACTGCCCATATCCATGGAGGGAATGAACTGAATTTGTAGTAGAATCTGGTGTATAAACACCCATACTAGGGATTTCTGTCTGCGATGGAGTAGGAGGTGTATGTTTTACTGACCCTGGGTTGATGGGAGTAGCAGGCTGTATTGTTTCCACGCTGTTGTCCAACCTAGGTGTTGTGTTGCCACTGGGCACCTCCACCACCTCACAAGAAGTATGATGTGAAGCAGACTGCTTGTCATCATTTGAACTCATAGAACTAGGCTGTCCATGTTGCTTGGTGCAGATTTCCTGTGCTGACGACACTGATACAGATGACAGAGTTGTTTCTGGCGCACCACAATTTGATCCATCACTATCATCCATGATCCCACTTACTGAATTTCTACGTGTCTGTGTGGACATAGAATTTCTCAAGTTATGTTCCCGTTCCTCTAATATGACTATCGCAGGTGGTGATGCAACTTCTTTCTCTTTCTCTTCAGTTTCTCTGGATTCTGAGTCATCTCTACATGGTTCCTCATGCTTCGAGTCCTCCTGGATACAAGGCTGGTCATCAGCAGTTGGTCTCAGAGGGGTCAAAGTACTGTCATCTGGTCCTGGAGAAGAGATGTACAACACTGCATTCCGTAACTCTTCTTCCCTATCATTGCCTGTCATCTCAGAACTGTCAGTGTCCATCTCAGTTGACTTATCCTTCAGCCTCTCACCTTCATTGTCTTCTGCCTGATCCTCCCCACTCTGAGTGAGGTCAACTTCTGTTGGTGCTGTGATCTTTGGGGATTCGGTTGCCATTTTACCTTTATCTTTCCTCAAAGCATCATTATTTTCCTCTTCAGTGTCTCCAACTACCTCTGTTAATTCTGAGCTGGCTGTCCTTGTGTCTGGAGCTGTGACTTCCTCCACACTGGCAGGTCCTTCTGCTGTATCCTTCTGTTCCTTTGTAGCCTGCACCTCACTGATATCATCCACTTTCTCCTCTACTCTTGTATCCAACGTCTGAAAACAAATATCAAAATATACAGCGGCTTTCATATGATCCTTACATGTTCTATCTGTATGGCATATCATCACCTGAGTACTAGAGTGTACTAAAGTCCATAAGCAAGAATTTCTGAGAAACTGGGTTTGAAGTTAGTTTGAATTGTAGTCTGAATGTAGCTTAGAAAAAAACACGTTCTGAAATCTCACATTCGCATGTAATGTAAACCTATGGAAATATGTGAAGATAGTGCAACACAAGGAAAACCAGAAAAAATTATCTGATTTTTGTCCAGATGTGGAGAAAACATCCCAGTGCTTAGGCAGTGATATATCTTCATATGCTAGATTTTTCCAAAAAACAAGTAAATTTTCACTAGCAATAATACAGATTCTATTAAAAATTATTAGACTACCTCTTCTACAGAAACTGGTCAGGAATATTTCATAATCTGTGTTACACCTCAGTCAGACACTTAATTTACCACTGATTCAAGGCCATCTTCTTAATGTCCAAACAATATATTTGTAAATAAACTACTTTAAAAAGAGTTCTGAAATTATGACAAAATCTGGTGATGTACATGAAATCTGTCATAAAACCTCCACAAAGAGAAAGGCTGAAAGACGAAGTAAGTCATGACTCAACTCTCCACCACGTATTATCCTGGTAGATCCTAAAGTGTTCTGACAACGGCGTATAACACTTAGAATTACTGGGTTTTTGCTTTCTCCATCGCCTTTCTAAGGGACCCAACTCAATAGGTGTCTTCCCCCCAACTCACCTGAGGACAGAAACAGATTCAGTTTCCGAAACATCGTATTTTCTATTTTCCAGAATACCAGATGATGGATAAGTCCAAAATCCAGCAATTCTGACCTATTATCCTGTGTATACCACAAAGTCCTTCATATCAGATGCTGAAATGGAACTGACAAGTATGCACGATGCAACTACTTGATACTTTTAAACAGCATTTCCTGTCTACATTCTGAGCCAACAGTTTGCAGTTTCTGTCTACAAATGGTATGAAATGAAATGCATACCATGGTGGTTCCTCCAGATTCACATTCTTCCCTGAAATTATGACTTTAGAAAGCCAATTACACAGTACATGATTCTTCACAATAGCAATGTTCCAAGATTTTCAAAGGTTTCGTGCCAATATCAGTCAGAACATATTAACTAACTGCAAGTAGTAGTCCTTGATGGGGCTGATGTTGTGACACTAGAGACAGATATCCCACATTTTATAGAATCCAAAGGTTTGTTATTATGTTCACAAAAGCCACCATTGGACCCAGTCAGAAAAAGCAATTCTACATTCCTTACACACTATTTTCATACCATTCTTCCATTTAAGCCTATGTCTTCCAATGATATCTTCACTTCAGGCCAAAATTCTGTATGCAATTCCCACCGATCCCATGCACGCATGTATAAGCCCTTCCACTTAATCCTCCTCGATTTGATCACCCTAACATAATGTGGTACAAATTAAAGAATTCCTCATTGTGCAATTTTCTCCTTCCTCCTGTTATGTGTAAATATTCTCCTCAATATCCTGTGCTCATCCATGTTCATCAAGGGTGCAAGACCAAGTTTTACGCCCATACAAAACAGCAGGTAAAAATTAAATACACTGTGGAGTACATGAAGATCTCTATAACAAAGATGTCAATATGGTACAGAAAATCTACATATCTGGATGTAAAAAATTAAAATTAAATACAGCAATACCTTGCATGGTCCGGGTAATGGGTTCCACCAATATCCCAGACTGTTGGAAACCGGACTAATCGAGGAACTGAATACATACAAAAAATGATAATCGGTTCCAATAAAAAATCTTTTTCAATAAATAAAATGCGATTAATAAATTCAAATGTCTTTATTAGAAATAATATTTAAAAAATCTATGTTTTCTGCAATTCATTTTTATTCTCTAAAAATTGGAATATTGATGTCTGCACATTTTTCTTCTTTGGCCTTTTCTCGTCATACATTTCTTTGTAGCAACTGTACAGCGAATTGTAAGGCTACATTCAGTATTGGGATCAACTTCCATAATATGCTCTGACAAGGATTCAACCATTCCAATAGTTTTTGATAGTTGTTCAGCTGTTAATTCTCATGCGGGCACTTCAACACAGTCGTCGTTGTCTGAGTTGTCCTCCCATTCTTCATCTATGTTAATAAGTGTTTCATTATCTAGCTCATTAGTATTCAATTTGATGCACTCAATTACGCTGATGGAATTTGAAGCCAAGTTACTGTCAAATTTCCACTATGTTATTAGTGACTTCAGCAAAATGAGTTTCAAAACCAATGAAATCATTTGCACAATGTGGTATGATATGTTTCCATACTGCCCTCATATTGCTTGCCATTAATTCATGCCATGCTTCGCCTATATTTTCAATAATGTTTCTGATGTTGTAGCTCTTCCAAAATTCCATTTAAGGAGTGCTTTCCCCACCTCCTCCAGCGATAGCTGTCAGAGCTCAAGAACTAATAACCCGAGCATTGGTACACATATATACAATGGGGAACCACAAAAGAACTAAAATATAAGTAGTTACTATAGGATTCTGACAGTGGTGTATAACACACAGAGATATTGGGTTTTTGGACTTTATCCATCATCCTTGTTTTAAGATGAATAAGAAAAACACGACGTTTCTCTTAGTTATCTTAAAACCAGGACCATGGATAAAGTCTGAAAACCAAATATCTCTGTGTGCAAACTGAAATATGTATTGTATTGCATGACTTTTAACCAGATAAAAGTAAACTGCACAAAAAGAGACTTGACTGTATAAAGGGAAAAACCCACTCATTTATGTATTAAAAATAATTTTGTGTACTAATTTTTTAGAATTCATTTTTATTTTGCTCAATTAACATTTTGTTTGCTTTGAAATTTTCAAACCAGACTATAGTGAATCCGGACTGTTCAAAGCCAGACTATGTGAGGTATTGCTTATATTAAAACAAAGATGTTAACTCTTTGACTGGCGCGAAGGGTATTTAAATCCCACCCCTGTCCTGGCAGACCCTTTAAACATTATGTCGCTAAAATGCATGTAGTTACTTTTTCCTAAACAACTTCAACAAAAATTGGTTTTTAAAAACGAAATTTTCAGGAACTAATTAAAAGACAATATTTTATGCAATAAATGCCTTTCCATACCTCTTTAGTAGTTTTTCTTCGTGTGATAAACATTGAAACATGAAAGTTTGCAGAGAGCCACACCACAGCCTGCACACATGACACTTGTTTCTTTTCTAATCTTGTGCTTAGCACTCACGCGACACTTTCTCAGGGCACCATTCTTCTTGTTACTGGGAGGAACATGGACGATTTTGTGAATTTTCAGGCCACCCTCTAGACGATTTACTGGCTCTTACACTGGTGGTCTTTTCAAGGTCGAGGGCGGAGGCGTGACTGCACTCGAGTCTGATGCAATAGATTCGTCATCCACTTCATTTCTTGACTCTTTTCCCTCTCCACACTGTCTGTTTGGTTCAGTCATTTTTCTACACAGTCCAATATAAAATCTTTGAATTTGTAATTTCTCTTCTTGTATTTTTCGTTTGTTGTGTTCTTTTTGAATAGAATGAAACTATTCAACCGCAAAGACATATTTTGTCCATACCATGGAGTGTGAAATAGGGGCCTAGTGGACAAATATTCTTCAATTTCAGGGCGTTTGTCGATTCCTGTCATGAACACAATTCCTAAGTATGTCCAGATTTCATCTGATGTGACTTATTTGTAATTGTGTTTTCGAGAGTGAGGAGCTAACTCATGTGTGTTGAAGCGCTGGTGAGCATAGCGATTGGTTTCAGTTGTGATGTGATTTATCAAGTCGTCTCCAGAAAAAAAATTTAATCCATGAAAAGGGATGCATTTTATGTGTTATATTAATTTTGATCCCGAAACTACTAGTAAATAGAACTATTGTTGGTACAATGTCTCTGTACATTCATGAGATGGGCGTGTCAGGCACCGCACTCGTGGTAGCTAAATGTTCATGATCACTGTCTATCATTGTATTATTGTCACTATCAACTTTATCTAATTCAGGAATCATTATTTCATCGCCACTATCATCATCAGCACAAATCTCCTTCACAACACTTTCCAGCCGGTTTGTAGGAACACGCCGACACTTGCTGCGAGAAACCATGGTGAAACTGAATGAATGTGAAATATGTTCTGACCTTTTCCTTCTCAGAGGGTTCTGACAGTAATATAGACCCCCACAAAGTTTACAAGGGTTCTTTACAAACATGTACAAAAACTATCATATATATGTCTTTGGTTGATGAGTGCCAAGAGAGCAAAGAAGGGAAGAGATTATCAAAGCGTTAAAACACGCCAACGCCAGGGAACAGCTGGCATCGTCCGGGCGTTAAAACACGCCCGCGCCAGTCAAAGAGTTAATATAGCAGAGAAAATCTGGATCCTTGGAGATATAAAATTAAAATTCAACAGGTTAGAACGCCATCACACATCCAAGTCCAACAACAAGGTTTCACTATAATGTCACACCACATTACTGATCAAAACATTTACTGATATTTTGTTCTGATATGGTCCTCAGCTTCATGGCGCATAAATACAACAGGAAAAATATTTCTAATGCTTTAACAAATAATATGGCATAACTGAGTGACTGCAAAGTATTCTAATGTTCATAAAAATTACAACTTTTAATAATTATTTGCTCTGATATGGGCCTCAGCTTGAAAATGCAAAAATTCCATTTGGCAAAATGTGGTAAATATTTCAGCAAATAAAGTGGTGTAACCAAGAAAATACTGTGTAACGTATTCTAATGTTCAATATTATTTTCTTCATTCTATACTAATTTCAAAGCAGGAAGTAACAAAGAGATCCAAACACTTATTCCACCAGACATGAACCCTGATGCAAAATTAGTTCATCACACAAAATTTGTGAAACAGTTATGATAAAATGCAATTTCAGTGTTCAAGCATAGGATCACCTGGGTAGTAGTAACATTGTGCAGCTCGGAGGGACCCCAACATTTCAGAGGAACGTGCCCCTCCATCTTCAGGGACTAACAGTAAGCCAAACAAGATGCCTGCACAAGCAGGCAGAAAGCTCAGCCAGCTCTAAAGTGTAACTGGCAGATGGGCTATAAGATATTTATCTGAGCTTTTAGTATGTTGGAATATGATTCTGAATTAGAGGTTCTGAGTGCAGCAACAGCTGTACAAAGGAAATGCCAATGAAGAAATAATAAATGTATTATAAATACAGGATTACATTACAACAAGTCCAAGAGGATAAACAAGTGTGTTCAAAGAAAGAGGGCTGGTAAGTGAAGCATGAACAGGCAATGAAGTACAAAAGAAGAGGAACAAGAAAATAAAATAGAGGAGGTGAAGGAAGATTCTGCTATTCACATAATGAAATTATGTCAAATAGTTACTAAATTTCAAATTACCTTCATTACAAAGCATGCAAAACCAAATCTTCAAAAACAAGGATGCAATGCCCTTAAACAAGTCAAACAGAATTTAATGAAGTTAAAAGTAACTCACTTTTCCATCATTCTCCTGCTCTCCTTCATTTCCATCAACATCACTGCATACCTCCATGGCTTCTGTCTTCTTCCCTTCAGGCTGGTCTGGTTCTGGACTAGAGGACTTAACTTCTGGAGCTGGGGCACTCTCTGATTTGTTGCCCTCAGGTTCAGATGACTTCTCTTTCTCCTCCCCATCCTTCTTCTCTTCCTCTCCTTCCTTCTTATTTTTCTTCTTCTTTTTCTCCTCCTCCTCCTCTTCTTCTTCTGCTTCTTCTTCTTCTTCCTCCTCCTCCTCCTCCTCCTCCTCATTCTGGGTCAATACATTTGATTTCACTTCCTGCTCTGCTTCCTCCTCCTTCTCTTCAGTTTTGTCCTGGAATTCTTGAACAGAAACTGCTACACTGTTCATAGGAACATTCACCTCAGGATCACAGGGAGATTCCGCTTTATCTCGGCTGCATGTTTCAGCTTCAGTCTTTTCATTCTCCTTTTCAGTAGTTGCAACTGACATGGGTGCATCAGGATGCTGAAAATATAATTCAAAATGGAAGTCATGGACAACTCTTTCATACTACTGGAAATTATGTTTTTAATAGGTCTGAGACACTGCTCAATTAAATACATTGAATAATTTGCCTAAAATATATGAGCCAGGATACCACAGTTGGTATAGCAATTGGCTGCAGCCTGGGCGACAGAGGGGTCTGAGTTCAAGTCCCAGTAGGGCCAAGAATTTTCTGTTCTCCATGTTGTCCAGACCAGCTCTCTGTGGCCCCTCCCAGCACCCTATCCAATGGGTACACGGAGCTCTTCGCCCCCAGGAGCTGGGACATGAAGCTGACCACTCACCTCCAACCAGTGGCGAGGTCAAGAAAATGTGGATCTATACATCCACTCCCCCATACACCCTCATAGCATAGTGTTTAATTAGTTAAGCACAGGGACAACTTTATCTCTAGCTTAATTTCCTTGAAAATATAGTGCTTCTGATTTGTCACTTTACTGAACACTCACACTGTTGTTTTCTTTTTATGTTTACTAGCAGAGTACAGGAACGAACCAACAATGTTTCCTAAGTTACACTTGTATGATAACCACTAAACCATCAGGGCTACTGAAAACCAAGCATTCCACTTTCTTCTAGTTTTTGAGGTTTACAGTACCATGTTCGTCAAAAATGCCAATCTTTGGGCAGAAGAGTGGATTTTTTGGTCCAAAAACAAATACCAGTGTTACAACATCCACTATAAGAGTGGATTTTTTGGTCCAAAAACAAATACCAGTGTTACAACATCCACTATACTTGCCTGCTTTGGCCCCAGTAATCATATCATGTTCCTAAACTAAAAACCTCCTCAAAAGGGCCTCAGTTTTAACCAGATGAAGACATTCAGAGTCACATGAGAATAGAATAAGAAAGACTTCAAGAAACGATTTCCAGTCGTGTTTCGAGGCATGGTATGAGATGCATGTAAAATCCAAGGTAAGGACTCACTAAAGGACATTAAAGGTAGGACGAAATAAAAAAAAGCTCTCATAAGAACAAAATAGTGTTTGCTGAAATAATACAATATACCCATAATATAGTTGCAGAATTCTCTTCTCAAGAATTACAAGGCGGCATGCGTTTGGCCTCCTTCAGGAGAAGAAATAATAAAAAAAAAAGACATGAACCAACTTGGTTTATAATTTCCAACAAAAATCTTAACAACCTAATTGTAAAAATATTTTAACATATTAAGACAGCCACTGTAGTTGTTAAAACATTAGATTTTATATCCATTGTATTTTCTCAACATTATATGTATATATTTTAACATTCAAAAATATATTGTAATAGTGCTTCTGACTGCATTGATATCCCCCTGAGGATAGTCTGTAAAGACCGAAACATGTGAGGGATGACGAATTGAAAAAAGAAAAATTCTTTACTGGTCACACTGGACAGAACTGTTCCACCTCTTATCACTAAAGGTTAATGACAATATGCATTTTGGTGACTCAAACCAATTATTTATTTGTTGCTCCTCGTATACCACCATCATCATAGTCTACGTCATCTTCCTCCTCCGACGCCTTTACTCTTTTGAGTCATCTAACAACTAAGCACCTCCACCTGTCTCTGCTTTCTCTAAAGTTCCTCCTCCACATCTTCCTCCCACATTATTCCTTCCTTCTGTGACATCTTTCTAACATGTTCCCATCTTGTTCTTGGTCTTCCTCTAGGGCACTTTCCCTTTCAGTTTCATGTTCATAACCTTCTTTGGGATTCTCTGTCCATTTCTAAAATGTCCCGCTGTCCATTTTATTCTGTTATTTATTACAGTGATTTTCACTGTAACTGGCAGGTAAGTTAAATTCTGTTCTTTCAGCTTGAGCAATCAGAGCAAAGGAAGTCTGTTCAGAAGTTGTTAAGAAGGAAGCACCAGCAGCCAAACTGCACTGTTGCAAATTCGCAACTGCTCAATACTGTCAACCGTTGTCCACAGCTACATTATACAATGAGAGGGTACCTAATTATCACAGTGTACATTTTTGTCCTCTATGTGGAAATACATTTATCAAAACCAGTCACATTCAATGAAAATTAATGTTTCAGAATGATACATTTGGCACCTCTATTAGTTGTTTCCTCTGTCTTCTTCATTTCCTTCCAAGACTGTACATGTGACAGGTTCATAACTCAGCCCCCTCTTCTACTAAAAAATGTTGTAATTTGTTCTTCACTTTGAACCTGAAGATGGTGGCAGTATGTTCCTCTGAAACACTGCCAAACTTCTACTCAACTAGACAGCACTACATCCCTTAAGACAGTAAGTACTCTGTCATCTTCAAATTCTATTTCACGTTTGTTTCTTATTCCGTATCTTGGTTCTCCTTCTATACTTCCTTTGTCCAAACCAATATTTCTGCCCTATACATTAACATAGGCATGTAGTAATTTGTAACTATACATGGCTACAGATGACTGGTCATCACCATACCATTTTTAGAACAATGATAACTCTTAGGATGAAACCAGAAAATCTCTTAAATATGAACATGTACATCATCCTGATAGTCCAATGTTTAGCATAGAAGTTCAGCATTTCAGGGGATCCTANAAAGCGTCAGTATGGCATCAAGCACCTGAAGCGAGGAGCAGGAACAAACATTAACTTCAATACAGTATGTCCACTCAAAATTACAAAAAATCTTCAGACATGCATTCTACAACATTATACTGCCCCATAAATATGTCTCTTCATGCATTCAATGACCCATTGTCATGGAATACGTGTGAGGCAGCCCAAAAGTGAACATTTGATGTGGCATCATGTACAACATAATCGTCAGACCATTTTTCTTTGCTGAGAAGACTGTCACAGGTAGCTGATACCTAGACATGCTGCAGCTCTACACCTTTGCTCAGCTGGAACACCTGCATCCAAATGTCTTTTTCTATCGAGACGGAGCTCCACCCCACTGATAGCAAGACATGTTGCGAGCTCTGAACGCAACATTTCCAGGCCATTGGATAGGACGAGATGGTCCAACAGATTGGCCTCAACATTCCCTGACATCACGTCACTGGATTTCTTTATGTGGAGCTACGTAAAGAACACAATTTATGCCACTAAACTGCGAGACCTTCAGGCCCGGATTGTGGAAGCTGTTGGTACCATCACTCCAGATATGTTGCAGCAGACCTAGGCGGCACTTGATTACATACTAAGATATCCTATGTGTCACATACGGTGCTCACGTATAAGTGTATTAATTTTTTAAATTAAACTTTGTGTGCTGTGTGACTGATATTTGTCAATAATTAGGTCATACCTCTATTCCTTACTTCCTGAGAATACGATAAAATCAGGCAATTCATTGTAGACACCCTGTACTAGAAGGCAACTCAGAAATTCACATGAGAATCTAGAGATAATACATATACTGCAAATAGTAATGGGACAAAACTACTTCCAATTTGATCAGCAATACTATAAACAAACCAGTTAGTCAGTCATGGGTCACCCAACATCACCAATATTAGCCAAAACATATATACAGCACACAGAACATAACCACATATATACAATTAAAAAAAATCACAGATTTCAGATGCTGATGACATATTCATAATATATGACCAAAACAACATAAAACATTGAACAAATACTCAAAAAATTCAACAGCTTACTACAATCACCCATAAAATTTACTGCAGAGAAAGAACTACATGAAGAGATCAACTTCTTAGATCTCACAATACATCACAAAGACAAAAAGTTTAAATTTTCGATACACAGGAAACCCACACAGACCAATATTATAATACCCAATAGCTATTGCTAGCCATATGAACATAAACTACCTAGAATTAATTACCTACTAAATCAATTACACATATCCAATTACCATAAGATCAAAGCAAACAGAAAAAACACTATTAAAAACATACTACAAAATAACGACTATAACTCAACCTAAAAAAAATCACTTCCACAACTACAAAAATATATATACAGTAAAACTTGGTTATAGCAACATTGGTTTCTGCGACACCTTGTCTATTGCGTCAAATATTCAATGGTACGAACTAATTCCTCATAAAGCAACTGTTTTTATACCTTGCTTAGTACGACATGCACAAATGCATCAACCTCGTATGTAACGTCATTTTCATTCCTGAATTTCTCTGATATCGTGGGAAAGTTCGATGTGTCTGCCCACCCTCACTTTCTCTACTTGCTGATGTGACTGTCCTGGAAGAATACGACCGCGGGCTGCAAGAGGAGCGTGGGTTTTATGCGAAAACAAGGGTGTGGGGTGGGACTGCGTGAATAGTGCAAGAGGACGCGGCAGGTTGTTAACTGCATTCCTTTCCTAGAATCTCGTCTAACAGGACCTCACATTGTCTACTTACCCTATAGTGTTCCTGCCTAAACCCAGAGAAGTGCAGTAGCGAAAACATGGCAATGAAAAGGAAAGTTTTAAGCATTGAAGAGAAAGTTAAAGTGATTCGTGAAATAGAAAATGGAAGGAAAAAAGCTGATGTATGCCGCGAATTTGGTTTGGTGAATTCTACAGTACAAACGATATGGAGAATCCATATTAATTCCACGTTAATGTTACGTTAGTCTGTACTTAACTACGTATTTCACTAAAAAATGCAACATTTTAACTCGGTCTTTGGTAGATTTTTACATGACTAACATAAGGCTACTGTGGAAGAGCCCATTTCGGTTACGACATTCGTTTATAACGACACTATTTTTAGGTCCCTTTGATGATGTTATAACCAAGTTCTACTGCATACAAAACAGCAAATTCATAAAAAAATTATACATCTTTGCACTGACAATAAACATATTGTGACATGTTGCACAACGGAGAACCCCTCCTACCCAGCAGTGACGTGGCGAGTGAGTCAGCGCTCCGTCACCCCCCTCCGCACGGTGACGTAACACGCAACACAGCTGACATGGGTAACGGCCAACAGCGGTACCAACTGCGTAACATGCGGGCACTGTGACTATATAAGAAAGCTACACTGCCTACGAAGACAGTTGAGTTGAAATATAGCAGCAGTCACGGTAAGAAGACCCGAATGCGTGGTTACAAGATTTTATGTGACAGTGTGCGATAACTAAGAAGTAAGCGAGTGGAAGACTTATTGTGTGCTTTCAAGACTTTGTGTGTGCTGTAGTACAGTTATATTTGGAGTGTGTAGCCTACTGACAATAGAGTGATTTGATTTGCAAATTGGGTTATAAATTGTGAAACCCCGCAACATTCTTATCATTAATTGTAGGTTGTTGAATAAACCAGTTAACAATCTGAACGGCGTAATCAGTAACGAAACACGTTACAATATATTATACATTAGAGAAACACAGACGCTGCAAAACGAAATAACACAGAATGAAGCGAGTTTTATTTTCAAGCACACATTTAGCATGCTCTACAATATGCAACAGCATGGAAATATATTGACTTAAGACCTACAGCTGTGCAATGGTTTCAAAAAGTGAACAACTGCTTGAAGATGGTCAAGTAAGGCCAAAACATGTAGGAACCAATGTGATTTTAACATTATTTTTAATTAAGAGAGAGACTGTGAACAGTTTCAAGTTGCATTAGAGACTGAGGTGAATGAGTGAGTGACACGTCAATGGAACAGGATGCTCGAATACAATATTATGAGACAAATACTCACCTCATCATCCTTCTTCCCATGGCTTCCCTTCTCCTTCTTGTCATCCATCTTTGGTGTTGGTCCAAACTTGGTCCTGGGACGACCTTTAACCCATCCACGCTTTCTTTTGACTGGTCTCTCTGCTTTCTTGTCCCCTGGTGGAATATTAGACTTCCCACTTGCAGGACCTTGATGAACTGGAGCTTGCTGGTGAAGAGAAGGAGGAGAGAGTGGTGGAGCAGCTACATGATTGCTTTCCCTGCCACCAGGTGGTTCCAGCTGTACTTCAGGCTTCAGCTCTGGCATCTGAACTTCAGTGCAATCCTCTGCCTCTTCATTCGTGGATCTGAAATGAAAAAGTTGTGAAAATTTATGTTAAGAAGCGGGTTCCCCAGATTTCAAATCCTGTTAACAATGAAAGAAATACAATACACAGCATATGGGGTACTGTGTCTCCAAAACATCTATTATGAGGGTATGTCATACCTTATGTAGGCAACCTTATGGAAACCCTATATGGTGAACAACATATCTGTATAAACATACTGGTTCACATTATTCATTCAAAACAGATCTAGTAACTTTCTAACAGCATACTGATTTATGTCACTATGTGATTATGACGCACCCTGCAAGATGTTTTAGACAGTTTCAGAAAGCAACCACACACCGCTACCAAATAAACCCTGACTAAAATAAAGTATTACCATGAAGGAGGATATGGTATTATGGAATAAGATATCATGAATAGACTAATCGAAATAAGATAATGATCTGGGGCCTCCTCACATGGATTTGGACTACAAAATCAATAACAAAAACTTTTATATGACTTTACATGTAAATATATCTAAAGATAATGGTCACATAACTTTGACATCAGTAACAAAAGGCATTTTACAGTTATAAAATATGTTATACAGGTAAAGGTAAAGTTGTCCATGCTCAACTAATTAAGCACTACGCCATGAAGGCATATGGAGGAATGGACACTTCTTAAACGAACTGTAACCGCACCATGCAGGGACCTCAGGAATGTTTTTCATTTACAGTGTTAATTACAATGCACTACATGGAAACTAAATGTACTACTGTTAACAATAGATGATACAGAATTGACCCCAGCACCAGCAGACGCCAAGGACAACATCTGGTCTTTCTGAGGGACAAGCAAGCTGCAGGTCACTTGAAAACCCAGAACGGAGCAGGAAGTATCCCGCTGTGTTTTCTGGGGATTTCAATGCTTAACTTCAACGGTACAAGTCTTTGAAAATTTGAGACTTGACAGAAACGAGTCGCAATAATTTTCGAAGGGGCATACAGAGCGATTGTTAGCGTACCTCCATTTATTTAAGAGCTGTCAGAGGGACCGTGTTGTACTTAGGCCCAAATTAACATGGATCTGGTTAGGGATTGGCTGAATGCAAATGAAAGAAACACCCAAATTTGAGGTTCAGCCAATCAGCAAAATTTNGGTAATAGGTAATTGTAGTGCTCCCTGTGTGAGCAAGGCCCATTAGTCGCCCTGAGACAGAATCTCGTCCTGCCGTCTGAGCAGTCGGAACCCCAAACGTCCCCCCCATCCAAATCCCCACTTTGTTTTCCCCGTTCAAAACTCGTGGATGTCATCCAAGTCCACTGGCGCCCACACAAAACCAAATTCAGAATAATCCCACTCCTTACCCTGAACCAGAAAGCAACAGGAAGCGGCGGATACAAGTGCAGACAACAAAGGGGTGGACGTGAAGGACGGTAATAAGTGACGACCAACTCGAGAGGCTTGAAGTCTCACTGAGTGGTAACAACGACAGAAGAAGAAGAGGAGGGAGGCAAAAGAACTAAAGTCAATTCTGTTTTTAAAATGTAAAACCAACCCATCATTACATTCTAAAGGGTTCTGACAATGGTGTATAACACAGAATTACTGGGTTTTTGGACTTTTTACATCATCCAGTATTACAGATGATAGAAAACACAGCATTTCAGAAACTGGATCTCTTATGTCCGCAGGTTAGCAGGGAAGACAACTACTCCAAAAACCCAGTATTTCAACCAGCATTAGTTTACACAATTATATAATATAATATGATTTTAAAATCAAAACATGTCGGACTGAATAAAAGTATATATTCATGAGTGCTGTACTTAGATGGTTACAAAATCTGTCAACCATATGGGCCATAACTTTCCTGCATGTATGTTAATCATCAAATAACAGAGTACAAAGATTTTCTATCAAATTATCTGCTACATTTATTACATATCTGGATAACTATCAAATAAATATAAAAAACTTACACATTCTTTTTTAAAGCCTCTGTTACCGCAGTTTTCTTGTTTAATCTGGAAACAAACCAGAATATTACATGACTACAACATTCAAAGGGCAGAATTCAACATCTTGGGAACTATCCAATCCTCGCAACTCCAAAATACCTGAATGAAGGTGGAAAAACAAGTGAAAACCTTCAAAAAGTTTAATGTGACTGAAACAAGCCAGCTGCAAACTCAGAATATGAGTTCTAAATCTCCGAGCAGTGGATGATCTGTGGCCATATTTGCATGTGGGTATAATAGTTTCATCATTTAGGAACAAGAGATTTTAAATCTACCACGTCTACAGACATGGCATTCATATTTTAAGTCTGGGTGTTACAGTACCAGTACTGAAGCAATTCAATGCTAGGCCAAGCCCTAATGCCTAACTCAGAAATACGGATCTTAGATCCCCTCTTCTACGGGGCTGACAGCTAGACTTTTTAACTCAGGTAATAATATCTGTACAGTACTGCACGTGTGCATTCCAACAGTGCAATGCACAGGCAATAAAACATAACAATGTAACACAATATGCACGACTCTTTTAACAGCTCAAGGATCTGGACTGACTTACTTCGCTTCTTCAAGACGCAGCTTCTTCTCCCGCCTCTGTGACCATCGTTCCCGCTTCACTTCTTGTGGTGTCGTGGTTGCACTCTTTGAGGGAGCTGTTTGTCTGGTAAAGATTTGTGACTGTCTTCGTGTTCTCTGAACAATGGATTGGTCCTTCGAACGTAAATTCAGAGATGTTGTTTCCCTGAGTCTGTTACCACTTGCAGGTGTTGCTGTGGAGATGGCTGTTGCTTCTGTTTCTTTCCTGGCCTTTTCTTCTTTAGACACTTTAGCAGCTGTACACAGTTTTAGTTAGTAAATAGTTTTAACAGTTCACATTTTTATAACAATTTTTATTACATAATGACGAACCTTGAGATTTATATAGATCACCCAGAATTATTAAAACAACAAAATGTAGAAGGTGATGATGGGCTATGGGCTGAGCATATAGCCAGCAGGGAGGAGACAATGAATGCATACCGAATTTTGGTGAGTAAATCTCTTGAAAAGTGTCACTTGGAAGACCACGCAAGAAATGGTTGGACAATACTAATCCATTATGCCTCATAAATCTCTAAAATCAAAATGACCCTGCTAATTCTTAAGGTAGTAACGTGCATTAAGATCTTGTTTAAAATTTAAGTACCTGCAGAAACTGAGCTGATGGCATCACAACTGTTTTATATTGACAGGACAACAGTGGAAATGGATCTAAGTGAAGTAACAGTAAGTTGTGAGAATGAGAGGAAGCCGTTCAATGGCAGGTGGTGATAATAATGGCACTGAACCTTCAGCTTCTGCTATCAGTGCTTTAATTACTTTCCTATGTAATAAGTGAGGGCACAATATACCATCTTTGGAACAGTTAATCAATAAAACCAATTCTCTGGTAACACAACCCAAATGTTTGCCACTGATTACTCTTTAAAATAGTCAAGTGAATTAACTTTCCAGTAACAAGAACATTATGACTACTTCAAAAAAAAGTCTACGGGACCCTTGCCTGGGCTACTGCAATCCAATACACACATTACCACAACTGAATTCCTCGAGAATGACTTTAATAGTATCCCTTTGATCCTCTGTCTCAGTATCCCTAGAGGTTCCACTGTTTTCAGAAGTCAAAATCAAAACAATTTCTTACTATGGTAAAAAGCAAAATTAAAATTAGAACTCACCAGCATTGCTGTTGGTAGCACTTCTCATTTCCCGACTTGAGGATCTTCTGCCACTGCTGCGAATGGCACCTTCCTCAGGTTCTTGTCGTTTACCCCTCTTCACTTCTGGCTCACTTAGACTTGGCTCATGATGCTGCTGACGTGTATTGTGCTTACTGGTTGCAATAGCTTTCTGTGTGTTCTCCCTTACTGCCTGCTGCTTCAGATTTGACTTTGTTTTAGGACCATCCTCAGTCAGTGGTTTCAAAACCTTTGTGTTGGTATTCCGTGCTAGTGTCTCCTCTTTGGTCGTGGAAGGATGTCTGACACTTCCCACTTTAGCAACCTTTGCAACAGGTTCTGGTTTTGACTTCTTCCTATCATTCAGCACCTCAACTGTTTCTGCAGTCCCATCACTGCTTTGGTTACCCAACGATTCTCTTCGTTTCCGTTTGTTTGACTTATCCTCCCCTCTCTTGACATGATGCAGATCGGGGGTAGATTTACTTTTGACTGGAGAAGTTTTGTTCACCATATCCAGCATCTTTGAAGGTCTTACCATTCTTCTCCTTCCTGTGGGGGGGGTTTCCATAACAGCAACATTATCCTCAACGTCTGCATGATGAGCAGTCTCCTCCCTTGTAGGACTTGGACTGAATCGAACCTGACTCTTCCTTTTACGACCCTTTCTTGCTTCCTTTGCTGACAGCTGTTCAGTCTTAGCTGGTTTTTCTACCATCGCCATGCTTTCAGTCCTTAGAGGTTTCATGCTGTTCTCTGATGCATGGGTACGCTCCAGTGCTGCTAATGGAATATCTTCAGATTTTTCATCTTTAAGCTCAGGATCGTCCTCCTGTTAAAATGAACCACATCTCAAGACCCCATTACAAAACCTTATCAGCTATGAAATTACAAGCAAAATACCATATTCATGTGCAAATGGTCTGCGCTTTTTAGTCCAAAGTTTTTTCTAAAAACAGGCGTGTGACCTACTTACAGATCAGTGTGGTCTCATTCACAAAGCACTTAAGTGACACAATGATTTTGTCAGCACAGTAGTATATATCACCATGCTACATCCATAAACAAAGTTGCAGAAATTGAAAGGTCAAATGACAATATTTTACTTAAAAACAAAACAATTAAAAATTGACTGAAGGCAGATTACTCCTTAAACTTTGTAACATACGAGGGAGAGTCAGTAAATAGGTCACAAATGGATATAAAATGTAGAATGTGATATTCGAATCTGGAAGAAACATTTATTTTTTTGCATATCCTCACACAAACATTGATACTCTTGTTCCATCGCTTTACCAATGCATCAGAACCCGCAGCATAGATGTCTTTTGACTGTTGTCTCAGCCACTACCGCACCTCTGTTTCAACCTCTTCATCGTCAGTGAAACATTTGCCACCCAAGTGTGAACTAATTTACACAACAAAAACTTCCCACTATATACAGGAAACATTTTTTTATGAATATCCTTTGCATCGAGTCCATCTGCCCACAATAAATGCACAACAGAACACTGTTCTTCAGTAGTACAGCCCTCAAGCACAGTCACCATTTTGACCACTGAAACCAGCCTCTGAACATGTGCATCTGCTGCCTAGATTGTCATAAAACTTGACTGTGCTGCTACCTAGTGATACACACAGAAAACCTTTTATGTCCATTCCAGCTGTTTTACTTCCATTTGTGACATATTTACCGACTCTCCCTCGTATGTTCAGAAAGAATCATTCCACAATACTTTAGCCCCACGCAACTACCTTTCAAGAGAGGTACCAAAGGTCTCCAACATCTCAAAATATTTCAGCGACATCAAGCTTACTTCTTATCGGAGCTGAGGTTCTTGAAGCAGTGGCTATAAAACGTTTATCCTTTAGGATAAAATGCCATGTGCCAGAATACTATTCTCTAGGATAAAACACCATGTGGTGTGGTGAAAGTCAACTCCTGAATACTATTCTCTAGGATAAAACACCATGTGGTTTGGTGAAAGTCAACTCCTGAATACCAGTCAGAAGCACCAGCACTTGTGCAAACTTGCTCAGTGAAGTACAAAGTAAACTCTTAATGAAATTAAATAACTTTAAATATAAAGTTTTACATAAAATGAAACTACAAAAGTTTCTTCCATAACTATAGGAACACCTTATATGTAACAGCAACCTAGCTAGTTAGTTAGTTAGAGAGGGTGGGTTCCCCCATGCACCGCGACCAGTTTGATCTATTGTGCTTCCCTCTATGATATTCTACCAGTCTCTATACCCTACCGATAAATGGTGCGTACCATCGGTCTCGCCGAGCAAGCGAGTTCGACCACTTGCTTAGCGGTGTCTATAATGCTTTCCCCATCTATCAGAGGCCTTAGAGACTATTGTTGGGCGGGAAACGTCCTGGGGGATATGAGTTTCTTTTACGTCTAAATGCAGACAAATATGATATTGTTTACTACACGCATTTCATTTCATTTCATTTATTGCATTCTGTCAATCCATATAAGGTCAAACCAACCTACTGGATATAGAATCTGTCATGTTTAAACATAAAGTAATAATAAAGTACACATTCATAACCATGTTTGAACATAAGATAATAAAATATACATTCCTAACCCATACAAGGATAAATGAAAACACTAAGACCACTATAAATTAGTGCAGTCATATACAATAATACAAACATTGATACAGTTGTAGTGGATACATAAGCTGTGTAATTATATTATCTGTAGGAGAGACAATCAAGACAGTGTTCATTGAGAAGCTGATTTATAATATTCATCAATAATATAAAAAGCATAACAAGCCTTATTTAACCTTGATGATAAATCCGTAATATGATTCTTCCAAGATAAGGTACTATCAACATTTATTCCCAAGAATTTAGTAGAATTGATATTTGTAATAATTGAATTATTAGATATTATTTGCAATTCTATTTCCCTGTGCTTTTTTTTGAAAGACTTGTATAAGGTGTGATTTATCACAATTTAATGTTAGAAAGTTACTATTAAACCACATGATTGTTTCGTTCAGAACTAATTTGATATTACTGTTAAATTCTTCATGATTCGTTTTTGATATGATAATACTTGTATCGTCAGCAAATAATACTGGATTACCTATTTTCTTAACGGATAATGGGAAATCATTTATGTAACTAAGGAACAATAATGGCCCCAATATAGAGCCTTGTGGAACTCCATATTTAACTAGTTCCCGTTTTGAAGACACTTTATTAAGTTCAATATCTTTCATTGATACTCTCTGATATCTATTTTGCAAGTATGATCTCATTTACTTATTTACCATGCCCGAGATTCCATAGAATTCCATTTTTGCCAGGAGTATGTTGTGGTTAACACAGTCAAACGCCTTTTGTAGGTCACAGAATAAACCACCAACATAATTCTTTTTGTCTAAAGAAGAAAATATATTATTTAAAAGAATGTGTCACCATTTCAGTAGATGGTTTTTCTCTAAATCCAAATTGTTCAGTGACCAATATATTGTGCTTATTTATATGGAAGTATAATCTTTTATGAATGATTTTTTCGATAATTTTGGAAAAGGTTATGAGGAGCGAGATAGGCCTGTAATTCATAAATTCTGATTTATCACCCTTCTTGTATAATGGCTTAACTTCTGAGAATTTCAATCTATCAGGAAATATACCTGTTTGTAGGATCTTGTTAAATATGTATGTTAAGGGTGATAAGACATACAGAGCACTAAATTTGAGAATTCTTAATGATATCTCATCATATCCATAAGAGTTCTTAGGTTTTGGTGAAGATATTGTAACGTGTTTTGAGTTACCGAAGACGCCGTAGAGATGGTTAATTGGTTTATTTAACAATCTACAAATAACGGCTACAATTACTTATCTCACAGTTGCGGGGTTTCACACTTTATAACCCTAATCGCATTAATCTGTTACCGCTGTTGCGGGGTTTCACACTTTATAACCCTATGCGCAAATCAGCTCACTCTGTCTTCAGTAGTCTACACGTATACGGTAGGGAAGCTGCGTATCACTGTATCACTGTACAACTGTACAACTGTATTAGGCGGCTGCTACAGTGGAACTCGCTGGTAGCCACATTAGAGCTCGAACTGATCGATACGCACTGTGCATCCACTTATATAGCTGCAGTGCTTGCCTGTGGCGTAATGAGTGCCACGTCACAGTAGGACGTTGATTACGGTTACGTTAGCGTTGCGCGTTACGTCACCGCGTGACGTCACCGCGGAGGGGAGTGGCGGGGAGCGCTACGTTACCGTGGAGAGGAGGGGGGAGGGGGGTTCTCAGTCGCGCAACATGTTACACTGCTCCCTCCTTAAGGCTGTTCGTCCCGAATAGCCTAACGGTGCACCCCCGTTCCTTTTCCGTCCCATAGCTGTTCTTGCAGCATCTGGTCTCCGGCTGTTACAACGGCTCCCTTCTTAAGATCAACTCGTCTCGGGTGGTTTCCTTTCAGCCCGGCAGAAGATCCAGTCGCGTCCCATTCATCCATCACTTTCATTCTGTCGCACATTCACTCTCAATGGGGAGGCCGGTTCTTCTATTTTACCGGTTCCTCCTCTGCTTGAAGTCTCTTTTTCCGTTTTGGAGGGGGTCGTCCCCTCCACAAAGTCCAGTCCTTGGTCATTTCTTTCTTCGGAGGTTCCTCATGTCGACGTAACAGCCCTTGATGCGTTGTTCGTCCTTGCCGGCTTCGTCGTTCCTCCTGGTCTTCCAGCCGCTTGCTGGCACGAGACCGTGGCGCCAAGTCCTCTCTCCGGCATCCGAAGGTTCCCTGGGGAGTTTCCTTCTTGAAGTCATTTCTCCAACGTCGTGCCACTGTCGCGCGACGGGATGTCTTCCTGCAGGGGGCAGCCAACTTTTTCTGGGGTCCACTCTTTTCCCGCGTCGAATTCTTCATATTCCGCTTCTTTCGGTCCCTACGCCTTTTCTTCTTCGGTTCTCCGACCGGCATTACTTCGGCGTCTTGTATGGGTACCTCTCGTAAGCCCGCCGCCTCAGGTTTCCTGTTCGCTGAGGCCGGCTTTTCTCCTTCTGGACGTGCCTCTGTTTCTCGGCAGGCCATCGTCACTCTGACCGGTATCACTGTGGGGACCTCCTCTTGTTGTGCCGCCGCAGGTTTCGTGTCCACTGAGGCCGGCTTTCCTTCTTGTAGACGTGCCTCTATCTCTTGACAGGCCGTCATCTCATTATGGTTGGCATTCACCCTTTTGACGGTGAGTGGGTAGTGTGGGGGCCTTAATGCATATGCCGGCGTCCGCCCTCCTTCGCCGGCCGTCGCTTGTTTCCCGACGGTTGGGTACCCTTCCTGTTCGTAGGGGCAGTTACTCGCGAAGTGGCCCAGTTTTCCACAACTCCAGCACCCTGATTGTCTTCCGTCTCCTCGATGGGTGGGGGACGATCGGTACTTCCGGTATGTCTTGGTGCTACCTTCGTGAGGTCTAGCTGCTATCAGTACCGCTTGCAGCTCTAGCGCTCGTCGGAGGGCCTCGTTTACCTTCTTCTCACCTCCTAGCAGCAGCTGGAACCTTATATCGGCATCTCGTATTCCGTATACGAAGGCTATTCCTGCCTCTCTTCCTATGTGGTCTGCAGGTAGATCGGGGTAGGCACGATGGGAAAGTAGTTCAATGGCCGTGGCAAAGTCTTGCAGGGATTCTCCAGGTTTCTGGGTCCTTGTTCTTAATTGGCAGCGGTAGGCAGCTGCAAAGTGTTGGTCCCCGAAACGGTCCTCTAGAGCCTGAAGAGTTTCCTCGTAAGTGGCATTTGCCGGAATGCCGGGTAGTATTTCCGCCGCCCGACCCTTCAGGGCCGTA